TTAGTATAACACGTTTGACATAGATGGCCCACAGTAACTCACGAAGAGCTACTGATTCCGATCAATAGCGGTGCAGCTTCTTCCTCTTTCTATGGATGCTCATGTGGGCTGCAGCTCACTGCTTGCAGGCAACCTTTCGTTGTGTACTGGAGAACAATGTTCAATGCCACGCGCCGAAAGTACTGTTGCTGCCACAGCTGATGCCGACGACCGGACACCACCACACACGGTGTTTGGAACTGAATCCGATCAGCGGTTGAGGCCAGCCTTGGTAGCTAGCTGCTTGCCTTTCGTTGTGTACTGGAGAACACCTGCACTCACCACGCGGTTATTGAATAAACACCGTTTGGTGAGACCGGATAGAGTTCAACTTCGAAATCTGTGTTAAGGAAATCGCTTTTCACAGGTAATCGGTGATAATTTTAATTATCAAAGCAACAGTTGCACATTTGTAAAATTTTCAATAGTGACATTTTGAAAAAAAAAATGATAAGGTCTTAAATGATGCGTAATGAAAAGATGCGTAAAAATATATCTGATCGATTGGTGATAAAATTATTAAAATCGGTTCAGGGGCAACGTTCAAAATCTTTCATAATTTTGTTACATGTTCTATTTTCGGTTTTCAAAAAGCGTACCCCCATATAGAAATCATAGACGTAGTCCTACGTCAAAATGAATAAGATTTCGACGAAGGCTTTTTTTTGAGAATCAATTCTTCCAGTGGCGATGTCAGAAATATTTTTTTCAATATCACGTGAAGTCTTTCAATGGCAATGACAAATCTCAGCACTGGCTGCAATGAATTCTTGATTGTATAATTGATAATTCGAAGAGAATCTTAGGATAAATTCCACGTCTTTATTTTTTTAGCTTTCTGCAGAGATCGACTGGTCGTTACAAAGAAATTTTCAACGGACCAGAGATAATATCAAATTTATGTTAGAGGAATTTCGAACTCTGTGAAAAGATATGATTCTAATTCTTGAGAACATTCAAAAGTAAGCATGTAAAAAGTTCTGAACGAACACAGCCAGACTTTGAACGCAGAAACAATATCAACGCTTTTGGACAATGCTTGACATTTACCACTTTTCCAATAGTTTCTTGTTGAAAATCAACAGTCGGAAGCATTGCGTAGAAATTTTTCTGATCGATTGGTGTTAAAATTATTGATGTTGGTCCTGGGGCAGCTGAGTTATTAACGTTCAAAATCTTTCATAATTTCGTTACATGTCCCATTTAATGTGATGTTTAGAGCTTTTGTAGGTTTTGTTATTAGCTACAAGTTTTGCCCATAACTCAAATCTGTATCTCTTATGCATCACGAACTAGAGCGGGCAGAACTTGTTACTGTTTTTCAGTGAATGTAAAACACATTCACTGAAAAACAGTAGTGGCTTCTGTTCGCTCTGGTTCGTCATGTATAAGAGATATGGATTTGAGTTGTTGAAAAAAATTTGTTGTTAATATCAAAACCTACAAAACTCCATACATCATTTTGCGTAATTCTGTTGATGAAAAAAGTTAGGGACAAATGAATGTGAATGAATGCACTAAATGATTGCAAATGATTTTCCATGGCTGGTGATCACTGATCCATTTAAACCCTATAGGAAGAACAGGTTCCCCCCGGGGATCGAACTGTGCTCTACTTCAAAACGGACGCGAAAAAATTCTGCTGTCAAATTACTCGTATATTATGTTTTCGTCACGGTTTTCCAAATTTTATCTGAAGATGATTTGCCAGTTTTGAAAGTTTTTGGAGATTAGTTTTTCTTTTTATGGCCGAAAGAAGGTTTTTTCCAAGTGCATTTAAGACCGGTATTCCGATTACAAGTAGAGTTAGATTCGAAAAACAAATTAGAATCCAATTTTGTGCAAGATAAGCTTGTGAGACCACCGAAGTTCCGCTTTATGCAACCAGTTTTACCACTATGTGATCCGAAAAACAACCAGCAAAATGGAGTGGCTGTTCGGTAAGAAAATGTATCCGGACGAGATGATGCGCAAGAACCAGCGGGCTCTGAATAAAGCGATGCGGGATTTAAACGGGAGAAGATGAAAATGGAACAGCAGGAAAAGAAGATCATCGCCGACATCAAAAAGCTGGCTAAAGAAAATCAGATAGGTGTGGTCAAGATTATGGCTAAGGATCTGGTCCGGACGCGACGGACTAAACATAACCACGAGCAATGACGAGGAACTGCATCACAAACCCCATGATAAACAAGGAGCGGATACATCCAACGAAACTTTTAGGCGTAAAAGCATCGTTACCAACATAGGAGAAAATTCGGTAAGATCCTTCCATTGCATTATTTTATGATTCTTCAATATTTTACAAATAATTACACATTACACACTACTACACATAGCAACTCGGAGCGTTTGGTACGGTATGTCCACGTATCCTTCCACCTCTGTAGATTCAAGAAATGTTCCCATTCATTTACAAGAATCATCTTTGCGGCAAATACAACGCAGTAGGCCTGGCCGTATTGATGTTTATATCATATCTCAGATATGATGTAAACATCAATTAGACAAGAAAAATTATTAGACCTCATCTAACCTAATCATTTTCCAGGATGCTTTCTCGTATTGGCTGCGTTTATATTAGATTAGATTAGATTAGATTATAGGAAGAACAGGTTCCCCCCGAGGGTATCCTGTGGCTTCAAAGCGGTCAATGTGGATCCATTTAAAGTTTATGGAAAGCCTATTCACGAAAAAACATGAAGATTGAGCTGTTGCACGACAAGTTTTGGTGTAAACAAGCAGTTGTCTCCTGCTATAGATCTCACTGGGGGCATCCCTGTTGTTCCGAGAGCGGCCAATGTGGTGAATGCTCCATTTAAAGTCCATCGAAAGCCTATTGATGAAAAACCACGAAGAAAGAGCTGTCGCAAGGCATTTTTTGGTGTAAAAATGCAAATATCCCCTACTAAAGGTTTCCTCGGGGGGCTCTCGGAGGTTCCGAGAGCGGCTAATGTGATCAATAATCCATTTAAAGTATATCGAAAGCCTATTGATGAAAAACCATGAAGAAAGAGCTGTCGTAAGATATGTTTTGGTGTAAAAATGCAAATGTCCCCAGCTAACGGTTCCTCGGAGGCATCCCGGAGGTTCCAAGAGTGGCCAATGTGACCAATAATCCATTTAAAGGTTATGGAAAGCATATTCATGAAAAACCATGAACAAAGAGCTGTCACACGGCATGTTTTGAGCAAGTAAAAAATCTGACCGCATTCAGAACCCTCCATCAGAATTGATTCCAGGGAAATGGCCATGTCTCGGTTTATTATTGGCCGATTTTAGCGGTTAGCATATAATTCGCTTTTGAACGGTTTTTATTTCTGTGTAGTTACTAAAAATATCGACTTTTATCCGGTATCCTATAGAAAATCACATCACAAACTTAGCAAGTTAGAAAAGCCCTTCGGAAACCCGGAATTTCTCCGGTATCCGGTGACCATGGTTATTTTCGTGGCTACACCATAAAGCTTTAATAGTTTTCCAGTTGGATGCGGTTGGAAGAATTAAAATCGGACCACATTTGACGAAGTTACAACCCTCAAAATTTGACCAAAAATTTCCCTATCCTAGTTATTTTGAGTAACCCCTGTAGTCTAAGTGGCAACGTATTTTGGGCTCTCCAAATTATTTTGGAGTTAAGATTTTAACATTCTACAGACTGACCAAGGTATTTTACATTCTCCCGGCAACATATGTGAACCCATAGAGCTTCCTGGAGCTCCATAATATGATGTGAGATACTTAGTTATACTGGCAAAGTATTTCGGAGTCTTCGAATTATCGTGAAGTTTTGATCTTGACACTGTACAGGTTCAACAAAGTATTGTACGATGTCCTGGTTTAGTATACATAACCGTTTAGTATCGTAGGGCCACATAACATCATGTGAGATCAGTGACGTCGCCCTAACCTCAATCTACCTGTTCAACAACTCTCAAAACGTAAACAAACAAAACAATATTGGTTCCAACGGATACAAATCAGTGAACCTAGAAGACCCTGTGCCGTTTGAAACTAATTTGAATGTAAACATGACCCTAAATAACATTTGCAAAGTGGTTGAACTGGTAAAAAGTGATAAAACAATCCCAAATTCTCTAAATCATCCGAAATTTCAGATCTTGATAGCTTCAGATTCAACGAAGTGTTGTACATTCTACCGATTAAATGTTTGAGCATTGTAGAACTCCATAATGGCATATCCAGTTTTTCGAAAATAATTCTTGACCGCTCTAATTTAATGAAAGAATAACTGAAGCAAAGAATGTCTTTTGAATAATGCTTGATAATCGTGTTAGGACCAGAAAATATCTCAAGGAGTTTGTATGAATGTTTTGAAGAGTTGTAGGTTGTCAGAATAATTCGTGATCAACTTAAGATAATGAGGGAATTTCGGAACATCTAAAGGTCTTCAGAATACTTCCCAATCAACTTCATAATAATGATCAACTTAATACACGATACTTATTGTGGTTTACTCATTTTGTTAAATATGTTTAATTCAGTATATCCATATTTATCATACTATATGTATTAATGAAAAAAAAAAAAATAACAGTACCCGTTCCATTTTGGAAACAAGCCTGAAAATTTAGTGTTGCCAAAATCCCACGATTTTATTTTGAAATTTAATTTATGATTTCGTAGATTTTGGACCACCGTGAGTCATCTTTATGACATAGACGTTATGAATAATTAATAATTTATTAAAAATTGTAATCACAAGGAGCACAAATATACTATTTTAGAAATCCGTTTGTTTTTGGCACGGTGCCAAAACCACTCCCTTGCCAAAATCTAATTATATCATTGACTAATTATTGGCGTCTCTCGCTGACTGAAGGCTCCCTTATATTTCAGCTTATCGCTTTCATATAGCTCCCTATATTTCAGGTTATCGCTTGCATTCATCTGCATCAGGTTAAATTTCGGTCGACTAACGCGATTTTGATATGAAGTTCGCGCGGATTTGGTGCGATTTTGATTTAAAATTCACAACAACCCTACAATCGTCCATGGCAGATTCCCAATTTGTTGGAATGTTTGCAATAAATTTACAATAATGTAACATTTTTGAGTCACTGTTATGAATTTTCACTCGTGAATAATAAGAGTGATCAATTCTAACACATACGAACATTTGGTGGCCTGACATTTCACCTTGAAATCGACCAACGAGCTCGCCAAACCGACACTATGTGTGTTTGTTAGAAATATAATTTCAGGTCGTGTAAGTTCGTTGATCAGGTACTAACTGTCTAAGAAATGGTAGCAATCCATAAGACAAAGAGAGCGGAAACCAGTTAGACGACTCATCGTCGTCGTGTTGGTTTCTTCCGGGAAAATTCTAGTTTCAGTCTCGATGGTTCAAAAGAAAAAAGTTTCACTAATCAGCAGTGGTGGTTGCTGCCATTATGCTTACCGTCGTCATTCTCGACGCAAGTGGTGACCAAGCAGACAAGATGAAGCGATCCGGTCGTGGTCGCACGGTGAGTATTCCTTTGTATGTATGAATTATTATTTTTTCAATTCTCAAAGTGTTGTATTTGAAGGAGTACTATATCAAACGGCATGGAATTACGGTCGAGCGTTATAACGTCACCACAGATGATGGCTATCAGTTGAGAATATTCCGTCTGCTGCCGAAAGTGGCGACTCGAGGAGTTGCCCTGCTACAGCACGGAATCCGGCAATCCTCAGCAAATTGGTTGGCGCTGAATCGGAACCTTCCTCTGCAGCTACTGGACGAGGGTATAGAAGTATGGCTCGCAAACACTCGGGCGTCCACGGAAGGTTCGACTCACATCAGTCTGAGTAGTTCGTCGGCCGAATTCTGGGACTTTAGCTTCCACGAATTTGGCTACTTCGATCTGCCTGCCATTGTGGATACCATTTTGGTCATATCGCGTTGGAAGCGAATCCACGTGATTGCCTTCTCTCAAGGTGCGGCTGCTGTCCTGATTTTCCTAACCAAGCGGCCCATGTATAGCAAGATGATTGCATCACTAAATCTGCTGGCTCCGGCCGTCATCATGGCCAATAGTCGGTGGACCATGCTGGCTGTACTCTACATCACCTTCAAACCCATTCTTCCATGGAGTCTCCAACGATTCGTTACCGGAAGCGATGAATTTTATGGAAACTCCCAGAAGGAGCTGGTACACTTTCAACTACTGATGCTTAGTGGTCGATTTTTGGCGTTCGATTACGGACCGAAAGCCAATCTGGAACTGTACGGTAGTTCGGATCCTCCAGAATACCCGCTTGGTAAGGTCAGTTGCCCGGTGACTCTGCACTACGGTGGTGTGGATCGAACCGTACATCCAAAAGACGTGAAACGTCTCAGTACGCTATTTTCCGGCAGTGCCAGTGTTGACATGTTCCGGTACAACCGAATGGATCATCTGGACTTTTTGATCCGGCAGGAAGCCTCTAGTGAAGTGTATCCTTCAGTTGTCTATGCAGTGGTGAAGCAGCTGTAGGTTGTGGAAGTGATATTGATGTCATAGTAGTTTAAGGATTTCGTAAATCGTAAAACACGTATTATTAGCGATAATTAGAAGGAGAGGAAAAGTCTTGATGAAAGCTCAAAACGTAGGACGTTTGTGCAGTAAGGAGAGTCTGATGTGTTTCGATTATGGAGATCGAAGATGAAGTAGTCAAAAACGAAAGTTCGATAATCAAAATTTCATCAAAAGCCATTGTTTTATTTAACTGAGTACCTGTTGGGTCTGGCCCTTCTAGATTACAACCCAATTCAATTGTAAAAATTAAACTTTATAAATCAATAAATGAATTTGAATTGCATTATTCCGTCAGTTCGTACAAAAGCATAAAAAAGACAGGTCTTGACATTCCGGTAACAAAATAACATCTTCTCGATGTTGCAAGTTATGCAAGTTATTATGTAATTTTATCATCGCTAATAAATGAACTTAAATTCAAACAACCTTAACAATAATTCCTGATTTACGTGCATAAATGCATGTCGCGCTGGTCTTGTCTGCGTCTTTGTGTGAGAATGTTCTGCCGCTGGCAGAAACCAGTTCAGAAATGTCAATTTTTTCCGCTTGCCAGTTTATTTTTGTGTGTCTGGTCATTGCGGAAAGTATCAAATGTTAAGGAAAAAATCCACTGGTTGTATCTTCTTAACTTTAATTAGACGATTAAGATTGGTAGTCCTGATCGCCAACTAATTACATAAATTTTACTTATATACCAAATAATATTAAATTTTATGAGAAGATTATTTTGAAAGTCCAGTCTAGCGGCACCGGTGGTGTAGCGGTAAGCGTGATTACCTCTCACCCCAGTAGGCCTGGGTTCAATCCCAGTCGGCGCCGCCGGGATGTTCTGAGGCATAACATCTCTGATCACGCCTTCCTTCGGAAGGGTAGTAAAGCCGTTGGTCCCCGGTTCATGAGTTGATGGGTCGATAGCTAGGGTCCAGGTGTGGGAGCTGCCTCCCTGGCGTCGGTAGCATTGGTGCTCAGCACGGAAAACAAGCCAAGCCAACTTCCCTTCCGAAGGAAGGAGTGATCAGAGATTTTATGCCTCAGAACATCCCGGCGGCGCCGATTGGGATTGAACCCAGGCCTGCTGGGGTGAGAGGTAATCACGCTTACCACTACACCACCGGCGCCGCTGGCAAAAGCTATCTAGCGACACATCAAATCACATTAGAACTTTGAAATAAGATCATTAGTGTTTTGATTTGTCGCAGCTGAGTTTTTGCGAAGGTCAAAAATTGATCACTGTATTGGTATCATCCAAAACAAGTCTAAGAGCGGGCAATGTGTGTCCAGAAACACTTAAAATGATCAGCAATAATTTGATCATTTGATTCGATGTGTAGTAAGATGGATTTCTGAACAATTTACCAAAGAGAGCACCCGGAATATGTCTAGTAGTTTATTTATTTCGTCAACCAACGTAGCCCAGCGGCGCCGGTGTTGTAGTGACAAGCGTGATCGCTTCTCACCCCAGCAGTCCTGGGTTCAATCCCAGTTGTGGCGCCGCCGGGATTTTCTGAGGCATAAAATCTCAGATCACGTCTTTCTTCGGAAGGGAAGTATAGCCGTAGGTCCCCGGTCAATGAGTTGATGGGTCGATAGGTAGGGTCCAGGTGTGGGAGCTGCCTCCCTGGCGTCGATAGCCTTGGAACTCAGCACGGAAAACAAATCAAGGAAAAAAAACCTTGTCGGATTGAAGCTGAAAGTTTAAGGAATCCTTTCAATTCATGGTGAGAAAATACAGTGAAATTACCTATACATTTTTGTTGCCGAAAATAGTCAATGAGTGTCGAAGCCGTCATTTATCTTATATCAATAAATCTAAGTCGTCCAATGCCTCGAATATTTCACCTAGTATCTTGAATTATAAAATCCCCCATTGGCCAGTGCACAAAGTCACGTGGGTTTCCCGTGATGGACATACCGAAAACCAGATCGACCACATCTGCATCAGCCGAAAATGGAGACGGAGCCTTCTTGATGTCCGGAATAAACGCAGCGCCGACATCGCGTCTGACCATCATCTTCTAATCGGCGAAATCCGCCTACGCATGGCGCGGATCCAGCGACGGGAGGAGAGACTCGGGCGGTGGTTCAACACACGCCGACTTGAAGATCCAGCGGTAAAAAGGTCTTTTGTTGAAGAACTTGAGACTCGAGCTGCGTACGTTCCAGAAGGTGGCAGCGTAGAAGAACAATGGACGGCCATCAAGAATGCCTTTATACAAACAAGCGAGAATAACTTGGGTGAGCTGCGCACCCAGAGGAAAGAGTGGATCACAGATGAAACCTGGCGGAAGATTGAGGAGCGTAGAGAAGCAAAAGCCGCGATAGAGTGGGCGAGAAACAGAGGAGCCAAGAACGAAGCCCGTCAACGGTACTCGGCTCTAGAGAAGGAAGTCAAGCGCTCTTGTAGACGGGACAAGCGAGCGTGGGTGAACTCCCTGGCCGACGAAGGGGAGAAAGCCGCAAACACTAGCGATATACACCTCCTCTACGATATCTCACGACGCCTGAGTGGAGCAAGGATGAACCGGAGGATGCCAGTGAAGGACACGACTGGACAATTGCTTACCGACCCCACTGACCAGCTGAAACGCTGGTTTGAGCACTTCGAACAACTTCTTCAAGTTTCGACGGCCAACCAGTCATCAACATCTCGGCATGATCCGCCTAGGGTGCGGCGCATCACTCGCGTCAATTCCGAGACCCCATCACTGCAAGAGATTGAAGCAGCTATCCGAAGCATGAAATCCAACAAGGTTCCAGGGGTCGATCGCATATCAGCAGAGATGCTCAAAGCTGACCCCATGCTATCCGCACAAATGTAGCATCAACTATTCTGTAATATCTGGGACACCGCGACTTTTCCGGCCGACTGGATGCAGCGCATCTTAGTGAAGATCCCAAAGAAGGGGGATCTGACTGTGTGCGACAATTGGCGAGGCATCATGTTACTGTGTATTGTTCTCAAAGTTCTGTGCAAAGTTATCCTGAATCGGATACAGGAGAAGATTGACGCGACTCTCCGACGGCAGCAGGCAGGATTCCGTGCCGGAAGATCTTGTGTGGACCATATTGTCACGCTCCGCATCATCCTGGAGCAGGTCAATGAATTCCAAGAGTCCCTTTATTTGGTATTCATTGACTACGAAAAAGCTTTCGACCGTCTCAATCACGAGAATCTGTGGGGCGCCCCGATACGCAAGGGAGTCCCGGATAGAATCGTCAACCTAATCGACGAGATCATGGTAGGTGCAATTGACCGTGTACCGAACCGTTGGCTGCTTTGGCAGCCTATCACCATGGAGCATCTCAACGACTTCGATTTGGCAGATGATGTTGCTCTACTAGCACAACGGCGCTCTGATATGCAGAGTAAGCTCAATGACCTAGCCGAACGCTCCTCATCAACGTCAAAAAGACCAAATCGTTGGATATCAACACGGGCAACCCTTCCAACTTTACGGTAGCGGGGCAAGCAGTGGAGAAGGTCGAAAGTTTCCAATATCTTGGCAGCCAAATATCGTCGGACGGCGGGACCAAGAGCGACATAGGTGCACGAATCAAGAAGGCTAGGGCTGCCTTTGCGAGTTTACGAAACGTATGGAGATCCAACCAGATAAGTCAACGCACCAAAATCCGAATTTTCAACTCGAACGTGAAATCTGTGTTGTTATACGCCAGCGAGACGTGGTGTGTATCAGCGGAGAACACTCAAAAGCTGCAGGTCTTCATCAACCGATGCCTGCGATATATAATTCGTGTCTGGTGGCCTTACAACTGGATCTCGAATGCCGAGCTCCATCGTCGATGTCATCAGAGGCCGATAGCAACAGAAATTCGAGAGCGAAAGTGGAGGTGGGTCGGCCACACACTTCGACGGGGCGGAAACGAAATCTGCAAGCAAGCGCTGGATTGGAATCCGGCAGGACATCGCAGCAGAGACAGACCCAGGGGCTCATGGCGGCGGAGCCTCAATAGGGAAATTAAGCAAGTCGATAGGAATCTGACCTGGGCCCAGGTCAAGGCAAAAGCGAGCAGCCGCCCAGGATGGAAGTCTTTCACGTTGGCCCTTTGCCCCGCTGGTGGTGCACAGGATCCTTAAATTAAAAAAAAAATATCTTGAATTATTCTTCTAATTCGGAATTCTAAACTTTTCCGGGTTACCAAAAATTAAGTGAGACCTAATATAAATAGCAATGTCCCAGAGTTTTGGAAATTTGTGAAGACCAAGATCGTACAAAATTTTCTTAAATGTTTCCAGTTATAAACCTAAACAAATCCTAAGCCTCAGAGGCGTGATTTTTTGTTATCTTTGCAAGCTTATAAAGTTAATGATTTTGAATTTTTTTGATAAGCTTTACATATTGAAAAGTTTTTATGTCACCGAATCTATAAATTTATCCATGTCTGGAATATTGAAGTTGTGGATTAGAGGATTTTTTTGAGTTTGAGATCTCCAGTTCAATGATAGGACTTCATATTTGTAGCAATCAAACTCAGAACCTCAAAATTTTCAATGTCTGAATTATAACTGAACTATTTCATTGGATCTTATCTTAGGATTTCTTTGGAAATTTGCCTCAAATTTTCTTAGCATGGTTTCGAAAACTCTTAATTTTTTTTTGTATTACAGTAATGACCCGATTTTGTTAGACGCATCAGACTTTTATCATTCAATAATTTCACATAACCGTAATTCCAAATCATTCTCATGTATCTTCAAGATAGACGTTCAAGGTAAACTTCGGTCAAAGACATCATATCAAGAAGACTGGCAACTTTGCCAGAATCCAAGCGACAGATACAATGGCGCTGCGCTTGAGTGAAGGTGGAAGCAACGCATAGAAAAATGAGCAAATACACAAACCTTTCTTCTGAGGATGTAATCTTTGCTATCAAATTCGTTCGAAGCATTTACCTTTGAGCGGCAGATGACGCGATTGTTTCTGTCTCATAGCGTTCGTATGAGAAAATGGAAGAGTTGCCAGTCTTCTTGATTTGTTGTCTTCGCTTCGGTGTAATAAGGCCATTTTAATAGCGCATGGGTTCGGTAGATCATAAGAAAAAAAAATTAAAAAGAAGACTCGAAAAATCGGGTCAGGACTCTGTCTAGCCACTTTAATATGTGACTTGTCCGGGGATGTGATTTGCGAGTTGCTTCCAGGATTCCCTCAAATAATTTTAGAATTCTGTCCGATATTTCTTGGAAAGTTTCTCCATAACAGATTCCGTCCAGAATACTCTGGAAATTCACTCTAAAGCTTGAGTCATTTAATATCTGGACGCATAAAAACGGATGTACCTCGGAACTATCTTAATTTAATAAAAATGTTGAGTACTCAAATCGAAGGTCATTTATTGCACTTTAAAGGAAAAATAGCGAACAAAATTATTCCGGTTTGTTTTTGATAAAATCTCTTCCTTTATCATATTTTGGACACTCTGTTGGATAACCTGACCGGCCGTTTTGTTCCACCATCTCTTCATCTCTGTCGCATCCCGAGTCACCTTTCCATTTTTCTTCAACTTCTGTTTGACAATTGCCCAAT